CCCTGGGCTGTCTGCAGGGCTGGGACGCAGCGCTTCGCTGGCGGGGCTCCCAGCCGGCAGGGCTTTACCCGGGCTGTGGCACGGAACGGGCACAGGCGCTTATTTACGAGCCTAACGGCCCTTAGGGAACTGGGCGCGTCGGGTCTGCATCCGTCTCCGTGATGTGCGAGCTCACGTTGCTGTTTAAGAGAACAGGCAGGTTAGTTTGAGAAGGGTTTAAGACAAAAAAAAAAAAAAATCCGTTTTAAAGCTCTGCCCAGGATTGGTGGGTTTTGATAATTACTGCGAAATAGAGATGCGGGTCTCATGATGAGAATACTGACAAATCTACTTCTTTTCTTTTGGAACCCAGAAAATCACAGCAGACATGGCCGCGTTTCTGCAGAAGTTGCGTCAGAAGGTGAAAGTTGGAGTCGTGGGCGGTTCAGATTTTGAGAAGATTAAGGAGCAGCTGGGCGATGACGGTAAGGACAGCGGCTGATGCAATCCCTTGCACTGAACAGCCTACAAGGAAGTTACGAAGATTAAATGTAGGTTAAACCCTATTCATTCCCCTTCCTGGTTTGGTTGTGTTGTGCTCAACTCAGTGACTCCGTGAAGTCACGACTTTGTGATCGTGCCTGAGGGGGGCGTTTTAAAATGGCCTTATGTACCTCACGTGTACCTGTGCAGGCTGCTCGGATGTCTAGCTCGTCCCTGCAGCACGGGATTTTGTGAACTGGGGGGTTACGATGCAGAGATGGACTCTTGCTTTAGTCCTTTGAGAGGCATTTCCTTTTCTGGATAAAAGACTGTCTTTAATGGTCTTTACTTAATTGGTGCCACTGATAGCCTTCTGTAATGCCCAAATAACTCAGAATTTGTTTGGCTTACAAGTGGTCTCCAGTAAGCCATGTATCATCTTGCACTGTAGTAGGATTATCGCAAGTCTTGGACATCTACTGTAGATTAGTAACGTTGAGAAAACAAACCTAAAATAGTAGTATCCGATTTGCTCTCTAGCCAGGCTGTGTGCCAGGTTTTTGTAATACTTGAGGTGTTCAGTCACTTCCTTACATTTAACGCAAAGAGACGTATTTGCAGGGGAGGAAGAGCCTTTAAGCAAAAATACAGGTAACTTAACTGAAAGACTTCATGTGATTTGAGGTATGCGTTAATCTTGGAGAGAAATCAGTGGGTTTGATCTTGTGCTGGATGTTATGCTGCTGAATCTTTCACGCTTTATGATCTAATGTTTGCTGTATTTTAACCTATTTAATGTGCAAGACAATTCTGCATTAAACATACAGGGAAAATTGTAAGTTTACTGTCTTTTTGTTTGGTTGTAGTGGTTGAACAATTTGACTACGTTTTTCCAGAAAACGGTCTTGTAGCATACAAAGATGGGAAATTCTTGAGCAAGCAGGTAAGTGTAAAATTTCCAGTTACGTGAAAGAGAAATTTTCTAAACAAGGTTTTGCTTTGTTGCTAGAGTGGAGTTCTCTGTAATCACCCTTCTAACTAAGGCCAAAATTGCTGCTATTTTCATGTGTTACTGCTCTAATAGATCATTTGTTTGGTGCTCTGATTAATGTAATGATAATCTGCACATTAAGCTTTATTCCTTGGGGTATTCTCAAAAGCTATTGGAGTCTGAAATGTCTGATCGAGTAAGAACAGTGAAAATTCTGGAACAGCCTTTTCCCTCAGCTTATCCATGGGAAATGTGGCCAAGCCCTCTACTCCTGGAGGTCCTACAGAATATGGCATTTCATAGCTCATGTCTGTGGGGCCTTAGGGTTCAGAAAGTTTCTTGTGGGTCTCTTGTAGCTGCTTTGTAGTATTAATTCAGAGTGCACATTCTGGGATGTTGCATAAGCTAGAAGATATAGTGAACATCTGATTCTAGATACCCTTATCACCTTCATCAGTTCAACTAAGCAATGGAGATTAAAAGTTTTAAAAGATTAAATTATTTAAAAGATTAAAAAGTTTAACTCCTGGCTAAAATTGCTGACTTGAGCAGTGGTTTCCAATTTACTGCAGTAACGGTCTCCATTTCTTCACATTTGGCTACAGTAGACATTAACTGCAACTTCTGCTGCTGCTGTCTTTGGCCCACGCTGTTTCCTTCTAAAGCAAGTACTAGTAGGGAGCATATTAAATGAGTTTGGCGTTATGGTTTTAAAAAAAACAAAGTAAACAAAAAGAAAAATTAGAGCCTTTAGTTAGTACTGTGTGTGCCTCAACTGAGAGTCAATTATTGAAGGCATGTTTCTTTGTGGTATTAACCATGCCTGATTATCCAATGTCTGTGTTTCCCATGTGACTTGTTTTTAGAATCTCAGATTCTGGACCCTTGGTTGAATGGTATTTATTTTGTTAGAACATTCAGGGTCACCTGGGCGAGGACATACTTCAAGATCTAATCAACTACTGCCTGAGTTATATTGCCAAGCTGAAACTGCCAAAGAAAAGGTATGTGCATACACGCATCTCAGTGTCACCATATTCTTCATGTATAGTGTTGAGCATCAATATGTAAAGCAGGCAGCTCAGCAAAAAAATAATAATTTATGGTTTAGGAACACTGTATACATGAAACGGAGCTCAATCCATGCACACAAAGATGAGCTCCCAACTGGTGCACAGGATGTGAAATACTGATTGAGCATTTGTATTTAAGAAGGAAGGAAGTTTAGTTTGGAAGTAGGAGTATTTCCTTGACATGTCTGGAATTCAGCAGCGTAATGTTTTCCAGAGATTAGAAGCGTGCAGTAAGATCAGTTCTATGTGATGTGAGGTGCAGCTGCTGAAGACATTAATACATACCATATGTGAAGCTATCTAGAAACACTGCCAAGATTGATCTAAATTTTACTGCTTCACCTCAAAGCTGACAGACTGGCATGTCATGGTCTGAGAACTGCATTGACAGGATGCTCCAGTCATACCAAATCATTCTTTTAAAAGTCAGTAAGGATGATGTTGAGGTTGCCAGATGCAAATGAAAGTCCAAAAGACTCCTTGATGGCAGAGGTATTGGTTCCTACACGTTTTTTATGCATACAATGAGAGGCTGAAGGAGACATCCAGTTGCTATTGTCTTCAGAATTAAATGAAAATTCTTTGTGATACTTAGTATTTTGAGCAATTTTTCATCTATTTTCTGTCTCATTACAGGGGTACTTTTATTGAGTTCCGAAACGGGATGTTAAATGTGTCCCCCATTGGAAGAAGCTGCAGCCAGGAAGAACGAGTTGAGTTCTATGAACTTGATAAAGTGAGTTACATCTCTTGAAAAATATCCAACTGTTCCAGAAGAGGCAGTTATGGCCAGGTTATGATTTTTAAAAAGCTTTTACACTTTGTGCATTTTTTTTCATTTCGATCTGTTCCATGTGGTTTAACTAACTTCTTAGTTCAGACCTAGGAAATACACAATAGGGTTTTTTTTGTTGCACAGTTAATGATGATTACTTGCAGAAGGGGTGGGTTCGGCTCATGTTTCTTTTAACACTATATCCAGAGTACCAAACATCCTGCCTCAACTCACAGGGTTCCTGAAAAACCCTGTTGTAGATAAAACCATACTTACCTGGAGTGCTCCTTAATATATCAGCCTATATCCATTCAAGTCATTTAAAGCCTTTTAAAGCAGAATTTAAAAGCTGAGGTCAAACTATTGACCATTTATTTTCCTTTGTACACAACTAAATGTGCAAGACTGAAATGAATCTGAGCCGTGATACCACAGTTCTGTTCCTGTAACAGAGCCGTAACAACTGTTTCTGACCTGATACAAAACCTGAAATCTATTTCTTCAAAAGCAATCTTTGCCTGTGACTCAGCTAATGGGTGCTGAAAGATATCTAAGCCCGAGGCATTCTGATTAAAGTAAGTGGAAATATTTGCAGCATATTTTCAGTAGTAACAAAATATAGCTATATCACGCTAGTCCTGGTACTCAGACCTTTGGGTATTTCTGGAGGTTATTTTTTTATTGATGAATTAACATAGCATGTAGCTGATGTTTGTTTTTGTTGTGTTTTGTTTTGTTTTTTTTTAAACAGAAGGAACATATAAGAGAGAAATTTGTAGCTGACTTACGAAGAGAATTTGCAGGAAAAGGCCTCACATTTTCTATAGGTATTACATTTAAAAGAATTTAACTTAAAACATGATTTAATTTAAATTTCAGTGACAGGTATATCTCTGGGGGTGGTTGCAGGCATTGCATGCCAGACTAAGCCTTTTTTTTCCCTCTTAGGCTTTCACTTGGTTCTTCAGTTCTGTAGCTGCATTGTGTGCGAGGAAGGAGAGGAAAGAAAACCCAAAAGCAAGTGCAAACTTGAAGAGAAAAATGATAATAAGGGGGAATTAATTTTCCATGCTTTTTTTTTACCCCTTTCCCCCAATGTATTATCACAGTATTATTTTTCAGAATTATAAAAAAAAAAGTATGCTTGCCCTGAGAGCTGGTATATTGAAACACTAAGGCAGAAATGAACTGCCAATATAGCTCTCCTAAAGCATGTTGTAAATACCTTTTTGATACCCACTTCGACTGCAAATCACACTTTTATGTATTGGTAAAGTCCAAGGATTTGGAACTGGAACAGTTGTTGTCCTGTTAGGCTGTGTTAAAAAGGCAGATTTCCTTCTCTTTCTATTCTGAAAGCTTTAGAAAGCCTTTTGCATTAAGACTTTTGGCTGTACGTACACCAATGGTTGTATTCATTCTTGTAGTTTCTTTCTAAAAATTAAAAGATGAAATGCAATTTTTTAAAAAACGTTCAGTTTATTTAAGAGCAGTCAGTGTTTGGGAACATGCTAAGACTTTTGTATTTCTTTAATGGGTAGATAATAATTTGTAAATTGCAACTGTAATAACTGATACCCTATAAAACACTTTCTGTACTTGCAAGACTTAACTCCAGGGTCTCATAATATCTTTGTGACTTCTGCAAAGCTCCCTCCACCCAGTTTAGTTCTTTTAGCTCCTCCCACAAATCTTACCCAGTTTAGTTCTTCCTCGCTTACTCTCTTGTTTAGAAATGTGTTCTTATAATAAAACAAAGTTTGCTTGTTTCATGTCTATTCTAGGAGGCCAGATAAGCTTCGATGTGTTCCCAGATGGCTGGGATAAGAGGTACTGCTTAGGAATCATTGCCGATGATGGATACAAGACTATTTATTTCTTTGGTGACAAGACTATGCCAGTGAGTATATTGTTTTGTATATGCCTTTCAGAGCTTCTGTTTTAAACCACGAGCATTGTAGGTTCTAACCAATTGCCTTGTGCCTGACAAGAGTTGAAATCTATATTCTATAAATGTGAAGATGTGTCCATGCTGTGCATTACTGGTCAGCATAGTGCTGAGACAGCCATGAGCAGAGGTTTTTCTTCTGTTTCCTGAAGTGAACACAGTGTTCTTGACAGACTGAACAGTGGAATAAGTTTTTAAATTGAACTTCTGTAATTATGTTAAAAACCTAGGTGACATGGCTACATAGAACTCATTATCCTGTTTGGTTATTGTAGAGATAGATGCTTCTTGTTGGCTGGTGATTATTAAAAGTATTTATTTTCCATTGAATTCAATACTGTTCTTTTGCTAACTGTTCTGTCTCCACATTGAGGAACTGAAATTACATACAATCCCTGTCCCTAGTCATTGGAGAGAGCTAAACAACTCCACAGGGTGATTCAGAGGCTTCTGAAAATACTGAGCAGAGACCCAACTAGAGCTAGCGAACACAAGGACTTAGATGAAATTAAGGCTGTCTGAGCATGGCCAAGGGACAGGGTCAGGCTCAGTTTTATAAGACCTTACAGTTTTATAACTAACTCTAAGTTACAAAGAACTTTGTGTTCTTATAAACTTAAAAAGGCCAAGTTTTATAAGAAAAAGACAATCTTTAAATCAAAGATTGGTTTTTTTCCCCCTGTGACACCAGCTGCAAAAGTAATCAATCACCTGTCCCTCTGGCATAGAGTTTATGGACAGTTGATTTTACACCCTATAATTGGCAGTGCAGCATTTTCAGAGTTTTGAAGTAGCAAGAGTTGCTGCTGCCTCACTGGAAAGCAGCATGGCAAACAACATACACTAAGTACTGCTTCCTGTAGGGTACGATGGTGCAACTTTCAGGGATCTCTGCTCATGCAGGCAGCAGCACCTTTCTTCCTCAGCCAGCTGTGAAGGGGCCTTTCATCGTTCCCCGGTGATCAGAAACCAGTTACCAATGTCACATTAGACCAGTAGCTAGCAAGGCCCAGCCACTACTGCAATACCAAAGGATCAACGATGTTAGCAATGATTTAACTGAAAGGAAAGAAAACCAACCTGGAAGGAAGAGGATAATGCAAGTAAGTTACAAATACCATGTGCTGGTATAGTGTTCTGTAACAAGATTTACACTTTAGTATTAACAGGTAAACAATTTTAAAAAGTCAGTACTGGGTCGCTGTACCAAACTAAAAACATGGCTAAACTTACACTGAGAGTTCTACTCTTTCATTACCAATTCTAACATGTAGATCAGGAAGTTTTCATGCAAGTGTTTGTGGTGTTCAACAGAAGTTTCAGCACAGGTGTGCTATAAACACATTATGCAAAATCTCAAAATGGCGGTTTGCAGTTTTTTAGCTTTCTGGAAGACATTTCAGATGTGACTATGTTATGCCCCCTTCTTTCCATAATTTCCTTTGTGTCCCTTTTCTACCACAAGACTGTGACTATACATTAAGTTAAATAAAATTAAATCATTTTCTGTTTTTAGGGAGGGAATGACTATGAAATTTTCACAGACTCCAGAACAGAAGGCTACAGTGTCACATCCCCACAGGATACCAGAAGAATCTGTGAAGAGCTATTTTTTAAATAAAAGACTTTTAGAATTCATACTTACAAAAACGGTTAAGACAGCTTAGTAACGCAAAACATCTTCCTTCATCTGTATTGGTTTTTGTAATTGGTCATGAATAGCAAGTGCTTTGCAGGTCGGTCATTACTGAAAGGAAATGTTTTAATTGAAGAGAATCTTGCTGGCTGGTGGAATACAGCAGAGCTCACTTAGCACCATCCATTCACTGTTTCCATTTGCACGAGTACTTTGCTTTCTTTTTGTTGGTTGTGGGGTTTGGGTTGCCTTTTTGTTGTTGTTTAAGTCATCAGTAAACTTCCTTAGCTGACTAATTGCAGCTGGGGAGGGATAAGCTTCAATTTAAAAGATGAACATTTTAGAGTTGTTTTTTTAAAATACTACCTTGTGCTACAAAGACGTGAATTGTAAGAGAGACAGGTTTTCTTTCTTTCTGGGGGTGGGATGGTAGAACTGAGCCAGAAGTCTCTGACCTCACACATGTTCCACTACATGGTCTGAAGATATGTTTAGTCTGCCACCACTGGAAAGGCTGGACCAGGCTTAGTACAGTTGTGGTGCCAATGCACAGTACAGTTCAAGGTACCTATACTTTTTGCAGACTGTTTTTAAATCTAAAAAAAACCCCAAAAACCAAAAAACAACTTGAGCATACTAGCAAAATATATTTGTCACTAATTACATTTCTGATTTTCCTGGTAAGACATTAAGGGTAGATGAGATATTAGTACTAAGAAAAATGATCTGAACTATGTTTTTATTAAAATTCAATTTGAAGCATGACAATCGGTGTAACTGTTAATACTACTTTTCTCATCTGCCATTAGGAAAGTGATTTTATGTATGAAGTTCAATTTAGTAAAGGAGAATTAAATCTCATTTTATTATGAAAAATCATTTAAATTTGTCATTTTGGCAAATAAAATATGTAAAGCAGACCTGTCATATGCTGCCTGTCTGTACAAGTAAGTTATTGACTTGAATCTTTCCAAGTTTCTATGATACTTACACAGGAAAAAAGGGGAGAATACAATCTGTGTGTACAACCCAAAATCCCCAGAAGGACTTACAAAAAAGGAGGGGGAGCTGTGATGCCCTCAGGCATCAGAACTATCCTTCTCCATAGGGTATTCAGCCTCAACTGTTTCAATGGGAGCAGCCTTTGGAGCAGGGCCATCTGTAGTGCTCTTTAAAGATGGCCAGATGTTAATAGCTGCTGCGTTGTGTGTACATCTATCAGATGTATCTGATTATTTGGTTACTTAGTGCAGGGTGGCTTCCTGTATTTACAGAAAGTTACCTATGCAAAACATCCTGTGCAGGACCAAAGCCAGATTTGTCTTCAGCCTCAAAATGATCTGCATGCACATACCTGCATACGTTCAAATTTTAAAAGTTAGTTTGCTAGTCAGTCTTGTGCAGCCATTGCCAATAGCCAAGGTTTATCTTCTGCCTCTCATGCCAACAGATGAGAAGCAGTCTGTCTTTCTGAGGGGAGAGGAAACACAGAACAAAACAAAGCAACCCAACCATGCCTCGTCTCTTGTTCCCATCTTACTCTCTCTAGTGCGAGTCCAAACAGGGCAGGCATAAACCTCCCTGCCTTTGGCAGCCCCCACTTGGGTCCCATCCCCTGAAGCCTGGCTAAAGCTTTGCTGAACACTTTTGAATACTGGCTGCTCTGTCGGGGGTGCCCCTTCTGAAATGCTCTCGCCTTCCTCCCCCAAGGGTCAGCTGGAATGGCCAGGCTATGCTATCCCTCCCTGTTACCCCTACTATATGTTAATATAAATAATAGCTAATATTTAATATTATATAGTGACAATAAATGTATTTACAGAAGTAGTAATATATATTAAACAGGAACCTATTAAGCAACTAGAAAACATGCTAAATTACTCCCCCATTGTTCTGATAATGCCAGTCATCTGATACCATGCTGCTTTTAAAAAAACTTTTAAATACCATCATACAGGTGTGCCTATGCAGGCACCTGCATTCTCCTCTGTCTTTAATGCTTAATCATCTTCAATGCTTAATCACCTTCAATACCGACTACACAGAGAGGAGACTGAAGATATATGTTAAAGCACTGTAACAGTTGCATTTATTGTAAAGGAAGCAGCATGTGATAGACCAACAAGCTGGATAGTGTTAAATCCACCACTACCAAATCTTATGGTTAATAAAAAATAAACAAAAAGCCAAAACCCTGCTACAGGCTGGTCATTATCGTGTAATACATGTACAGCTAAGGTAAAACAAGCCATCACAGCAGTTACTAACCTCCATCCATCTGTGCTCTCCCCAGGTCAGACCTCGGAACAGATCATCTGCTGTGAAACAGTCCTAAGACATTTCATGACCGTGAGCACCTATTGTTAAAATTGCAAACAGGCTTCACTGTTTCACACAACTAACAGAAGAGTATCATGCCATCTTTTAATATTTTATTTGCAAAGTCAATAAAAATCCACTGTTAGGAAAGTAATAGAGAAAAAATGCTTCATTTGAAAAAAAGATGCGGACGGCAAATAGGAACAGAACTCATTTAGTTGCACTATCACTACAGGAAATCTTGCAGGCAGAGAAGAGTCAGGGCAAGGGTGACCATATCACATCCTACCAAGCAAGTTTTCCAGGGAAACAGCTGCAGAATCTACTTCACTGAGACAGCTGAGTCTATTAAGTAACTCGCACAGTATTTTATACATGGTCATCTAAACAGCATATAACTTGCTTTTCAGAAGTACAGTTATTCTGCCTGCCCAGTGAAATACCATAGCAGACATTCAACGACATGCAATCAAGAAGGTAATCTTCAGCTTTGTCTAAATTCAGACACAGTCAGAGGCTATGAATATCCACTACTCTACAGCTTTCTACCACTTACCTCGAAGTAATTTTTTAAAATTTTGGTTTGGTTTTTTTTTGTGTGGGTTTTTTTTTGTTTTGTTTTGTTTTTTTTAATACTGACCTATAAAATCTGTTGCTAATCAACCATCAAGGCACCTAAGTAAATTCACAAACAATCCAGGCTTTAAAACCACAATATTCCACACATAGGCAGACATGCCGTTCACAAATGGTGCACCTGAAAGGCACCCAGCCTGGCCATTGGAGCGTAACCACCAGATGGAGATTTTCCACCCTGCAGCAGCTGCTCTGTTTGTGAACTTCCTTCCAGGAGGAAAACATATCTGCAGCAATGAACACCTCTCTCTCTCAAGCCAAGGCATTCAGGCACTGTTACCAGCAGTTAAGTGTACTCCAAACCTTACACCTCAAGGGAACACAGTGCTCAGGCACCCCCAGGGCCTCCAAGTCATGCCTCTGCTACGGCCATCTGCGCTAGAAGAGCTCTCCTTCAAACCTCTCCCCCATTCCCTTGGGCCTTTACTGTAATCAGTTCACAAGATAAAAGAAAAACCAAACCTCCCTCCCTCCACCAAGCCCACAAACTAGGTCTCTTTAAAATACACTTTTTGTAAACACATTACGCTAGATTTTTTTCATTAGCATTTGAATTGCCTTTTTTTTTCCCCAGGCCAGCTGTAAAAATGGTAATTTTGGCCTGCTTCTGGTTTATTAACAATGCAGTATTTCCTCCCACACAATATGTAAAATACTCTTAGGACAGGTCCCCTGCAGCCAGTTGTTGAGCAGTGACCATGCAGGCAGCGGCCGCGCTCCCTCCAGGACTCCTCAGGAACTGATGACGTGCCCCGACCAGGTCTCGTGCTTGGTTCCAGGAGCGAGATGGGTAATCACCACCTCCACTGCCTGAAGCTTCTCATTCTTCGGAGGGATGGTGCACATCTTGTAGGTGACCTCGTCACCTGCCACAGGAACATACTCGCCTTCAATACTGTGGAGGGGAAGCTTCAGTTAATCATAAATGACATAAAAACTAAGTCTTACTCTTTTGCAGCTTGTTTAAGTTTTTATCATAATGATTATCTTAGGTGCTCAATATACTTCAGTTTTTTTTACAGAGCCCATCCATCATCCCCAAAGCTTGAGGCTGATTTTGGTTGTCTTGTAGCAAAATCCTGTGAGAACACTACAAACACTACCACCCCCCTAAAAAAACCCAAACAAACAAACCAGCCCCACACTCTAATATGCCTTAAAAAATAACCAGCTTGGACAACATTGCTGTGAACCATGCAACCACCTCTTATGCGCTGGCAGCACTAGAGGGCAGGGCTGACACTGTTTGGCACTTCGTTTTGGGGGTTTGTTTTTTTAAACTATAGGAAATTGATCTTCCCTCCCCCTTCTCTCATGCTTTTGAAGCTCCCCCCCCCTCTTTTTTTCTTTTTTTTTTGAAAGGATTGTATCTTGCCAGTCATTGACTTTAACTTTTACCTTTTGGTTACTCCACCATAACAGAACAAAAAAAGAACCCAAGTAAGACACAGTGCGGAATACTTCAAAATTACTTGCTGTGAAATAAGAAAGAAAGTTCTGTGACCCTGACACGTTACACTGCAGAAGCTTTCCTCCAGCATCCAGCACTTAGGAAGGTTTCCAAGAGTCACTCCCTCCTACCTATCTTCCACCAGTGTGATGATGCGGGATGCTGGAGGACTTGCACTGTGCATTTGTTACTGCGTGCCAAGTCCTTACCTGGAAACAGTGGGAAATGGCAAAAGGGCTGTCACCTTCTGTCCAGAACTATGTACGGATGAAACAGAGAACTGTAACGGGTAACAGCCTTCCTCACATCTACCGCTGTGTTCAAGATTAGTGCTTTTTAATAAAAATCCCAGCATGCGCCAATGAAGACGGGCAGAGATGCCTTCCAACCTGCGTTACAGTGATGCTACTTCACCTTTCTTTAAATTTACCTACACAGGCTCAGGTTCCCCTTCTCTGACAACCTAGGTTCTACATTTCTTGTGGTTTGAGGGGGTTTTTCAGTGTTTCTCAGCAGCATTTGTATTTGTGAACAGATAAACATTAATTATAAATTCTACTGGATGCCTAACTGGCATGAC